TTTGAAGGTGATTTGTAGTAATAATTAAAATTTACCAATATAAAGAACTTTACCGTAACTTGCATTTTAATTACGGTTTTATTAAAACTCTTTTTCTATTTATATTTCGAGTTCGAGGACAGACACTCGATGCAATAATAAATTTAATTACAGTTATTACGAAATGCAATTGTTTTTATTTGCTTCAATAAGGATTTTTTTTTTTTTTTAAGGGGGAAAATCATCGAATGACTGCTTCTGCCTGGATGAGGCAGGAGGGAGTGTCAGACTCTTACTGACTAAAAACCACCCCGTTCCTTCTCCTGCGCGTCGAGCCGGAGCCCCGGTTACCCGTTAGGTTCTCCGCGACTCCGTTCAATAAGTAGGATAAAGACTACATCATTGATAATAACTATTTTTATTGAAGATAAGTAGGTATTCAAGGAAATAGAATTCCAATATCAAACAACCACTTAGCTAACTTCTGAAATATGAGCCGGTTTCTACTATAGTTTGGTACAATCAGCATCAAAATTTGATGAACAAAATCACTGTACACACGGCTACACATCGAGCTTTAATAACCAGTATAAACTGAACGTTAAATGTGTGGAAAGATGATGCGACGCGACACCAGGTTAAACTGGTTTTGTATAGATTGATGTGTGGCCGTGTGTACACCGTATTATACCCATATCGGAAAACATGACAAGCACCTTAACAGATCAATCCCTAACCTAAAAGTCACCGGTGACCGCTAACTCCATTATAGACCTTATTTCCGATGTTTAGAGACTACTTTTGTATGAACAAATGTTGTGGATTTTTCATAATCGGACATTTACGAGTTAAATGCAACACAAGATAATATTTTTCCTTGGGCTTTTGTCAAGTTGACCGACTTAGGTAATACGGTGTGTAGCCATTTTGAAAATCATTGTGTTCATCAACTTTAAATGCTAACCGTACCTATTGGTGTTAAACTAATGTACTCATTGAAACTGTAATCATTGAAAATGTTAGAAAAGGATGTACTACAGTTCTTCTCAGGACAAGAAGTCATAAAACATCTAGAAAACTGTTTGCATTTCCTTATTCTTACGGAAGATTACAGTTTATCATCACGCTACAACACTTATGTCATATAATTACGCCAGCAAACATCTAAGGAAGTAATTCTCACATAAACTAACAAGCAAAAATCAACCTTAACGCTTCAATACCTGTAAGCAATTTTCAACCTTAAGGTATAGTAGTTTAACGGTCGATTATACAATCCCTTGTGTGCAACTAGTAGAATGCAAGTCGTGTGACTGCAAGTGAGAAGTAATATCTAATAACAGACATCCCGCTGTAAATCTATCTGTACATCCTTTGGTCGTGCAAGGTCTTGGCCTGATGAGATTATAGGCCAGTTACATACACGGAACTAAAAAAATCACTTTCAAAGTATACCTTGACATTTGACCTATAGCATAGAGCTCTGTTTGTAAGAACAATGGCTATATTAGCTATTAATTGGCAATCTATATTAATTATTTTACACAGAGTAGTAAGTAGCACGGAGTCTGGAATTGTGCCCGGTATATGGCAATAGGCTCACCCCCTATTACATGGGACTCATAACATAAATAGTGAAAAGTGGGTGTTACATTGTACAGTGGGATAATGTGCACCTCTGTCTACCCCTTCGGGGATAAAAGGCGTGATGTTATGTTATGTTATTAATAAAAATGAATTTTCGTTCGTTAGTCTCGCTAAAACTCGAGAATGGCTGAACCGATTTGGCTAAATTTGGTCTTGAAATGTTCGTGAAAGCCCAGGGAAGGTTTAAAACGTGAGAATAATGTTTTTATGCTGTACAATTTTTCCGGGTTAGCTAGTAATTTATATTATAGGAAATTGTATTTATAAAACTTAAGTAAGAAAATTTTGATTTATATTTATGGCAAATGTTATGTCATAAGCAATGTGTTTAACTGCATAAAGTATATACTTACTAAATATTTTTTTTATAGGCAGTAGGGGTAGGCAGAGGTGCACATAGAAGTAACACCCACTTTTCACTATTTATGTTATGAGTCCCATGTAATAGGGGGTGAGCCTATTGCCATATGCCGGGCACAATTCCAGACTCCGTGCTACTACTGAGATTTTTTTTAAAACTCAGTAATACTTTGCCCGACCCGGGTATTGAACCCGAGAACCCTTGCCCAGCAGTCGCACTTGTGACCACTCGGCCAACGAGGCAGTCTTCAATCAAGTTAATAAACCTTTTTACTTAGGCAGTAACAAAAGGAACAAATTGTCATTGCTAAGTATTTCAAATTCATTCCATATTTGAATATGTACTACAATATGAAATTACACATTATCTCATACGTGTGCATTTAAAAATAGCCTTTGTAGAACAGACTGTAACTGTAGAGGAAGCATTGAAACAAGTTAACGCTAATAGAGTACAAAATTGATTAACAAAGTCATGCAAGGTGAGGATATCCTATGTATTGTGTAACTAGGTAAATGCCTGGTATTATGTGTCCTGCCCTGGAATTAACTGGATTTGATGAAGGCAGGTTGCCTATGTTCGTAAGATTTTTTGATATAACGATTTAATTAGAAGATGTTTATGTCATTATAAAGTTTACTTTATTTTTAGGGAATATTATTATTATATCAAACTTATTTGTTATTACTACATAGTAGGTATAGAACAAAATCGCTATCCGCCGTCTGTTTGTCCTTATGTATGCTTAGATCTGTAAAACTACGCAACAGATTTTAATGCGGTTTTTAATAGATAGAGTGATTCTTACCGAAGGTTTATATTTGTATTATACCTTTTGTGAGACATACTAAATAAATTATTATGTTTTCGGCTTAAAAAATAAATAAATAAATATTGAACCCGTACGAAGCCGGGGCGGGTCGCTAGTTTATAATAACTCGAATAATTTTTATGTACAGGAAGTGTAAATTATTAGTAAAATAAAAAAATCTTCAATATATTGATAAAGTTATGCTTATGGAATAATTAACATTTAAGACAAATAAATGTGTCTATCCGTCTATTGTTAAAATATAATAAATAAAATATCTGTACTATAATTACGTATTTTCCACCTAAAACTTTATTAAGACATCATTTTAAGCCTAGTATCACTATTTATGAAAACTAAAATTATAACTAAAATAAAATTATTACTAAAAAGTATGTACTGGTTTTAAATATAAATAAATAATAAAATATAACTAAAATACTGTCGATTTACAGATTAAATATTAAAATATCACATTTCAAAGGAATGTTATTAGTTCCAACAGGTTTATAAAAATAAAGGTTTTACTTTTTAGCTATTAGGTTACATCTAATTTGTTAATTTACCCTGAAAATATATGTCACAAGACATAAAAACATACTTTACTTATAATAATAATAAATAAATAATTCAATTACAAAAGACATTATTACACTGCTTTAAAACAAAACTGAAATTTTAGCACCACTAGAGGCGCTAGTGTGACATAAAGTTATCATTCTATTGTTCATTCAATAATTAATGTTAATATTCAATTTAGTAATAGTTAGTATTGATTTTGTTTAACTTTTTATTGAAATAAATGATTTTATTTATGTCAATTAAATTTTAATTAATGAGTAACCTATGGAGTTTGCTCGTTCTTTTCCATAGAAATCTACACTTTGGAACGAGCAAATAGCTTCACTGGAGGACCGACCTACAGACTGACATTTTTTCTTATTATTTAATATTTAAATATTTTGTTTTGACATTTAAAAGTGCCTTCCTGGTCTAATTGAAATAAATGATTTTGACTTTATTCAAGTTTGATACTACTATCTTCTATATATCACCGTTTACAGTTTTCTGGTCATGAAATCTTATTAAAAATAAATTTTAAACGTTGTCCCACACTAGAATTTTCTCTAAAGGCACACATTTTTCGTTTTGTTCTCTTTCTAGAATACCTACTTTAAAATTCAGTGTAATAAAGTCTTGTAAATATGTTAATAAATATCAATATATACTTATTGTACTTTAGTCAACATAAGTTATTATTACTATAGTTAGTTAAACTAATATCTACTTAACTACATCTAATTAAGGTAAAAAATGGAATGATCTTACTTTTAGCAGGCCTCACGACGCCCTGGGTAACATTTTGTGACAATAATTTATTGTATAATTGTAAATGATATCTGAAACAAAAGGAAAGATAACATTAGTTAATTGTTTAATAAACTTTTAAAGGTTTTAGCTTTGATCACTGGGTTTTTATGGCACAAGCCGGTAATCGAGCGGACAGGTCACCTGACGGTCCTCAAACACTAAGGCGTTACAAGTGCGTTACCAGCCTTTTGGGAATTGGGAATTTGAGGATGGTGGAGGATTCACGGATTGGGGAGACTGGGGAGGGGGTAATTGGGCTTCCGGTAACGTCATTCATACAAAACACAACGCAAGCGTTGTTTCACGTCGGTTTTCTGTGAGGCCGTTTTATCACTCCGGTCGAGCCAGCCCATTCGTGCCGAAGCATGTCTCTTCTATACTTATGGTATATGTAGTTTTGTAAAGGATTTCTAATGTTGAAATTCTCAGCAATAGCTCACCAAACCGAGCTACTGTATTTTTGCTCAACAGATGGCGCTAGTGTGTCTCGGATAAATGCAATCAATAAGTACGATTAAAGTTTTTCGATTTCTCAGTCATAGTACGGTAACATCATCCTTTAAATGATACTACCATCACAAGTAGCTTAAAATGACCTATTTACACTTATGATTAGTTCTCCACCATTCCATTTTCCATTTTCTATTTGATGGGTTGACGTTTGACCACCATCTCGCTTGGCCTCACTGGTGGTAAGCGATGATGCGGTCTAAGATGGAGCGCGTCGTACCATAAGCAACCTATTCACTCGGGCCTTGAAGACACCCTTCAGAAAGTACCTACAGACTCTGGAAAAGAAATTAAACAAAAAATCTTCGATACTAACCTCACCCAAGAGTTCCAGCAGCCAAAGAAGCCAAAACAACTAGAATGGCCGTGGCGACTCCACTAGCACCGACATGTGCGCCGTACACCGCGCCCGAGTCCACCGCCGCGCCGGTACCGAACGCGTCCGCTGAAGTAATCGTGTCTGTCAAATGGCCAACCGGTGAGCTTAGCGCACCAGGAGGCTCATCTAGTAGTTGCATGGGTTTTGTGTCTTTGTTTTAAATAGTTTTGAGGTTATGTTTGTGATAGCGAAGGTACTAAGAACTGAGTAGTTTTCAAGATAAAGAGAAGTAGTTAATTGTAGATGTCTTTTAAGTAATTTATCTAGGTTACTTTTCATGAAGAATAATGAAAAAGTTTAAGCAAGTAGTCTCTTTGTCAAGTAGTTTTTTTTATAGAAAAGAGCATACTATAATAGTTTTTCTAGAAATAGATCAGTTGAACATAAACGTTGTGCATAATATACTAGAATTTTTAAAATTCTAACCAATTACACCAAACTACTTTGATTTATATAAAAATAATCAATTAAAAATCCACCAACTAATGTTATCAATACCTCTACCAAAGCAAGTTATTATTATTATTAAAAAATATCTTTAAACCAATGTTAGAAAGAACCAATAAATAATAATAAATAACTGAAAGAAACAAAACCCTTGTTTGTACTAGATTCGCCAACTAGTGCATGCAGTGTACAAAAAAAAATATTCTCAAAGCATAATGTTCTTAGCTCAATCGCCGTAAGTATACAGAATATCATTAGAATATATTTTATTTCAAGTTTTTTTTTAATATTTTTTTTACCATACTGGGTTTTAAATATTCTCAGTAGTAGCACGGAGTCTGGAATTGTGCCCGGTATATGGCAATAGGCTCACCCCCTATTACATGGGACTCATAACATAAATAGTGAAAAGTGGGTGTTACATTGTACAGTGGTATAATGTGCACCTCTGCATACCCCTTCGGGGATGAAAGGCGTGATGTTATGTTATGTTTTTTTTTACCAAACTGTGCCCAACGCTAGGATTTTCTCCTGTGTCGTGAGTGCGTTTACAAACATACAAGTTCACATACACATGACACACAGACCCGAAACAACAATTTGTGGATCACACAAAGAGTTGCTCCGTGCGGGAATTGACCCGCTACACGTTACGTGACAGCTAGTTGCCGGGTTGGGCACCCACCAACAATGCTGTCAAGTAACAATTGCCAGTGTAGGTATATCATTTCTTGAATCATTACAACTTAAATTTAACAAAAATACAGAAGTTTTATAAAAATACAGATAAGCTAAGAACAGTATGCTACGACAATAACAATTAAAATACAGTCATAAGTTATATGTGCTTTAAGATACTAAGTACTAAATACAAAAATTAAAGCCAATTTTCTACAGAAATACTTTTATCAACAAGCTGTATTTTAACCTTTTGAACGCCAGAGCAAAAACGCATGAACTTGCCCTCAACGCCAGGCCACAAATTCACCGCAAATACCTACGAAAAAAATAGGGATTCCAAAACTTCATCGATAATCATCAATTTTATTTTCATTTTCGTCTTTAATTTCGAAATATAATGTCCTTATAACATTGAAATTTAATTCAACATTACTTCTTCCTATTAATAAAGTTATACACTATTTACAGACTTGTATAATACCGTAATAACAGATATGAGACTACAATATATTTAAATATAATAACCGTAGGTACAACACTATTCTTGATCTGCTGTCTTCATATTGTGACCATGGCGTGGACGGCCCGCCATTTTAATAACTACTTCGCTTCCGAAATAAGGATGTGGCAACGTAATATCTCGTTTATCGATGTTCTAGTACAATATTATTTTATTTATTATTTTATTTTACTTTAATATAAATGAAACACGTTTTTTAAATCAGATTTATAATTCCGAATGTGGTACTTAAAAATATATGATTGAAATAGGTTAAGAAGGTAAATAAAAACTATGAAAAAATAGAAAATTTTAATAAAATGTTATACAGTATGTACTATGTATACATGTTTTTAAATATTAAGTTCTATAAACCTGGCATAAAAAGTAACAAATTAAAACAATTAACGATTATAATATAATTATCACAATTACCAATCAGTCTTATACTAATAAATCTTTTGAATATTAGAACAAAATTATAGATTCTGTTTCCGAAAATTCTTCGTCATCTGAGACTCCTTCTAATATGCGAAGAAGTTCTTCCGTAGTCATTAAATTCCCACTCATTATAATAGTCACTTAATATAAATCTTGAACTCGATATCACAAGTAAATTAATCATAAATATTATTCATTCACTTCACTAATTTCTGGTCGCCGCGCTTGTGACGTCACGATATTGTCGTCTAGTCGTGACCATGGCGTACAGGGTACTGATAATTCGGGTTGCGTTAGGGATGCGCTTGAGTTGGGATTAGTGAATATCGAAATTCGACCCAACCAAATTTTATTTTTGACTATGTAGCTTATTGAATGATTTTTAAGACTGGTTTTATAAAATTAATGCTGCTTTATCCTAGTACCAAATTATACCTAAAATAATATATTCCAGAGGAAAGTTTCGAATCGATCTTTGATTTGAAATAATGATATTATCCAACATGCGCTACATCACTAGCGGTCACGCAGTTATGACTCTGGCGTGTGAGGACATTCTTTTTTCAGAGTTTATTTCTTTCTTTTTAACGTAAAATTTCTCAATATTTATAATGCAATTTAATTAGTTTTATGGAAATAAATAAATTTTGGACCTTCTATTTTACAGGTATATAAATAAATAGGCATTAAAGTAATGTTTAAATAGTTTATTTCGTGTTTTAATGTACCGCTGTTTTTGTCACATATTTGTGTCGTTGGCGCTCAGGGACAGTTTTCGCTTGTCACGTATTTGTGACCCTGGCGCTCAAAAGGTTAAGGCAATAAATAGATTATTTTTTTATTGAAAAATTAATTACTTTTACAATTCGTATAAGTTTAAAAAACCAGCTACTTATACATAAAAATATGACATCCAAATCTAAACATATCTATGTCCAATAAAAATAAATCTTGTAATAATTACGTGAAATTAAGAAATAAAATCTAAAATAATAAAACTGCAGAATAAAACTGAATGAATGCAAAAGTAATGACATAAAGATGTTAACAATCCAATACCCGAATACCACCAACAACACACAAAAATAGATAAATACAATACATGTATCTACAATACAATACAAACACAACACACAATAGAATGAACGACGTACCTATGTCACCAACTTCCACGGTGAATGAATGAATGATGAACAAAAAAATATAAGATTAATTAAGCGGCAACACATCATGATGTTAAAAATGAATGATTTTGTGAAGGTTCCATTCACTCTTCTAGTTCATTCATTTCATTCGTTCATTTGTTTTTATCTCTTTCTTGCATGAGAATGCAATGTTTGAATGATAGGGATGGCGATAATTTTGAGTTAAAGCACAAATGGATTAACATAGATTTCGTTTCTTCTAAAAATATTGCAGGAATCGAACCCAATGTTTCTGTATTTTTCTTTAAGACCTTTATTATATTTTGTGATAGAGCATTTTACACAAATCTTTAAAGTGTTCATTCAAAAATATGTACATTCGAAATGACTGACTTTGTATTTCTATTTGCTCAAGCTAAAATGAACCTTCCAACCCAGTACACAAAGCACATCATAGCTTACCTCCCCATCGGTTCAGCATGGCCATTATAACGCCATTGGTCCATCCGAAGCCAGTTTGTACGACGTATTCGCCACCCCCGCCGAGACCTCCGAAAATTGTCGCATCATACTGGAAAGTGGATTTTATTGTTAATACTATAAAGTCGATATTGCTGTAACAGATGTTCTGAGTTTTCAGTCAAAATAAAGTAGATTATAAAAATAATAATGATTAATAAATTACATATATGAGATTATAAAAAGATTAATAAATTATAATTATAAACTTTGTCTAGCACGGTTCATAGTGCTTAAGTATGTACGTTGTACGTACATATTTATAAAACAATAACTAGTCTTTACTCTTACTAGCCGGGTCTGGATGTCATGTGTAGTGAACTCGTAAGTTTGTAAACTCACCCACGACACAGGCAACGTTTTAAAAAAATAAATAAAAAAAATAACACACCTTTTCAAGCATAGCAGTCTTCTGTTTCCAAACTTCGAAGTTAGACCGGACCCATTTAGTGGCGATCTCGCTGGCCAGTCGCATGGCCTCGGGCTGGCCTGTGTTGGCCAGGCCCATCACCACTATGTACTGTAGAGGAGGCCAGGCGTTCGGGTAGTCCCATTGTTCGCCCGAGTGCTCAAATGTTGTTGGAATGCCTCCGTCGAATATGTCTACCTGGGAATTAAAATAAATACGTAATTATTGGTAGTTGGCGCTATTTTATTTATAAAATATAAATAAGAATATAGATTGGTTTTGTTTAGTCATTTTTTAATATACAATCAATGTATTACGTAGCTAATAAATAATAACATAGCTATAATAAGGGTAAGAGATACCCCAGTAAAAGTATATTTTTAATGTACCCTGATTTATACCTCAAATCAAATCAAGCCATTTATTTTCAATTTGCTTATACAAAATTATAGGTAACACAGTGAAGTGACTGATTAGATTTAAAATGAAAAAAAAAGTTTAAAATAGAAAATAAAACAAATAATAAATAAGAAAAAATGCATAAAAGATATAAAAAAGTAAAAACAATATCAAAAACAACAAAAAAAGTCATTTGACCCCGACGTGATTTGAACACGCAACCTTCTGATCTGGAGTCAGACGCGCTACCGTTGCGCCACGGAGTCACTTGAACACAGTGTCGAAATTACCGTTCCTTATGAGCGAAGTGACGCAACTCTTTATTATCATAGTAAATTATTATCAAAGTTACGTTAATTAGTACTTAATTACGAGATTATATGAAGGAAAATATGAAAATTATTATCTTTGTTATTTGAAAATAAACGTTATACAACAGAGAATAGGATTTAAAACAAGATCGGCATAAGTTTATTTTTAGCTTTTTTTACTTCTTCGTACTTACTTTAACTTTATCCAAATAATTGACGACTCTGTTCACGTAGTAATCCTTCCTCGCCTGGTCGTAGCAGACTGCCCAGAGCGGCGACACGTTGGATGGGTAGAAGTAATCCCGACGCCTGCCAGATTCCAGACTGTAATCCAGCCAGACACCTACGTCTTCATGCCAGAGCACCTGAAAGTAATTTAAGAAATAAGATAATTTTTATAATAATTTTCTTAGATTTTTGGTAGGTAATATGTTGGTTCATTAATTTCCTTAGATAAATCTTCGTAGGTTGGTAGGTACATGAATATATGAATGAATGAATATCACGGAAAAATTAGATATTCCCGAGGAAAAACCAAAGTATTGGTATAGATGGCGCTGTATGTATTGGTATATGTCACATAGGCTACTTTTTATCCTTTTGTGACACGAGCGAAGCCGTGGGTAAAAGCTAGTTAAATATAATTTCTATGATTTTGTATAAAAACTTTCACCAATTCACATGTTTGGGTATATCACATTCATTTTCGAAATGGCTAATTTGGTCTCTACTTTTTACTTCCAAGTTTTTATCCTACTTTTACATCGTGAAATCTATTTCATTTTCGTCCGTTAAGTGAAACGTCGTCGTTAAGTGAAACGATTTTATCTTGAAGAATAAAATGCTTAAAACTTAGGGTAACAGGTGAACCATTGGAAAAAGAAAACTTCGAGAGAGCACACGAACTCATAGTACATTATCAAAACATCACGTCAAGTAATTCTCGAAGAGGTATTTCTCGTCGGGTGGCACGTGTGTTGCGAATAGTGCCTACAAATTTACATCTAGTGTTTCATGTGCATATTTCAATTAAACATATTTTTGAATTAAAAAGAAAATCACGTCTTAATTTGTTTTTACTTTATACATTGAAAATACTCCTTATGGCAAGCGGGACTAAAACGAAACATCAGCTGTAGCCAAATGCCATTTAGCGCTTGTCTACATGTAGAATAGAAAACCAAATTATACGGAATTGACGTAAATTTTGACACTTGTCAGTGTCATCGCCATACATTTAGTTTTCTACTCTCTCTGTAGACAAGCGCTAAAGTGGCGTTTGGCTAAGGGCACTGATTTCATGGTGTATACAGCGACCAGTCACCAGTAGGACATTAAGCAGTAAGTTTGCCAACGATTTATTTGAAAACTAAATAATAAATAAATTATTATGTTTTCGGCTTACTCACGTAATTATTTGAAGAGAAACTCGACTAGTTTCAAGTCATGCTAGAGGCTCATATTCATGAGCAGCATTTCACGACCCGCGACGCGGCGACTGTCGCGCTGCTACTGGACTGCTGCTCATGAATATGAGCCTCTAGCATGACTTGAAACTAGTCGAGTTCCTCGTCAAATCGAGTTCCTCGTCAAATAATTACGTGAGTAAGCCGAAAACATAATAATTTATTTAGTATGTCTCACGAAAGTTACAATACTAAATAATAATTTGAATTTACCTGTTCAATAGCATCCATGAATCTGGCGTGCACGTTTCTATAGTATTCTGCCTTGTCGACGTTGCCGAGTCTGGTATGGAAGTCCCGGAGGAGCTGGGCGTTCCAGCACATGATGGCGTTCAGGTCCACCGGGATGATGGACCGAGTTTTCAGGTTCGTTAGGTTACCTAGAATATTGTTAAGTATTTGTTAAGTCTTGGTGTATTTTGTGTGCTGTGGTAGCGGGAGAAAAGGGGAGGTAATGAAGACTAGGGATAGTAAATAAGTTCTTTGAAATATGATCATAATACGGTAGTTTTTAAAGTTCTATTTTAATGTCCGTCTGGTAGATTAACTCGTCGAGTACCGTATTTATAGACACAATTAAAGAACAATAGGTCGCGGTCACCGGTGACCGCTTGGTGTTTGACAGTTTAATTCAAAACATTAGACATGTATTTTTCTTTTCTCACAAGATTGAATACTTTCGACGATATATTCAATTTTAAATATCGTGTGACGTCACATCGTGCTACAACATTAAGAACGTTGTGACGTAAGTACCTTCCACTCCTAAACATAAAGTTTCAACTCAAACTAAACTTAACGAAAAAAAAATGGCTGTCTAATATTTTTTCATTATCTCACTACGCAGGGATGATAAGATTTTTAATTTTCATATCGTGGCAAGTGGCAAATAGCTCTTAATATGTTGTTTACCTATTTTACCTCTATACTTACGTAATGCTTTAATTATTAGGTTTAAATAAAAAAAAACATTTTTGTAATGTTATGTCAAAATCATAGAATAAAAATTCCTTGAAAACTATTGGTCGATAAAGGGTCAGTATGTAATAGTTATTTTTAGTTTTTAATTATATAAACATGCTACATTCAATTACCTTTAGTTTCGTAACAGCTAACACTTGCAATTACTTAACTAATGGGATACAAATACTACACTAGAAATGAATTGTTGTTTAATAAAATATATATGACTTCTCATAGAAGTCATATATATTTTATACATAAAATATTTATGACATTAACATAATGCTTATCAAAAGTTGGGGATACTAAATGGGGTGTAGCAAAATTATTAGGGGTCTAAAAAGTCACTCAGGGATCACACATAGGGTCTAGCAAAACATACCACCAACTTGACTATATCCATTAATTGAGAGATCATTCGTTTGCTGAGGATATTCTGGACAAATGTGGATAAAAATATATTGGGGACAGCTCAACATAATAATGAATATACACTCTAAGTATAAAATCAAAAGACAGACAACTTAGATTATCGAAAAGGGCTTTATTCGGTCTATGACGTGGTTACGAAAGGTCTATTAAGAAGACAGGTCTAATAGACTAATATATCTGGACAGTAACTAAGTTACTTGGATCGAATTAATAATTGTGTTATAAATACTGTTGGTTTTCCAATACATAAATAAATAAATCATATTAAAAATACAGGTGTCTCCCAAAGAGAATCTAAAAGTAAATAATATAAGTAAATAAGACATTAATTATTATGCTTTCGGCTTACTCAAGTAACAGTTTGAAGAGGAATCGACAAGTTCAAAAGCAATGCTAGAGGCTCATAATCATGAGCAGTATTCCGCGACCCGCGACGCGGCGACTGTCGCGCTGCTACCCTTGTCTAGCCATACCTTTTTGCCTAACCATGGCTTGAAACTAGTCGAGTTCCTCGTCAACAGTTAGGTAGATAAACCGAAAACATAATAATTAATTTAGTATTATATCTCACGAAAGTTTTAATATAAATAAGACATGTTGCGTTTAAGTATTGAACGAAATATAGAGTAAATAAAAATATGTTTGTCTCTCTCTAACCTTTGTTGGTGCCATTAAGAATGAACCATCTGGATGAGAAGTCCCATCCGGACTCAGCTGCAGCTTTCAACTCGGCATACAATTCTTCCTTCTTGTCGTTTGAGTCGAAATGTCTGGAAAATAATATTAAATGTTGTTATTATCATGTCTATTCATCATTACTACTAATCGGAAAATACATCAGCTGTTAAACAAATTCCAATATCCAAAGAGATTTTGACGTGACAACGTCTTATAAATTGGTTTGCCGGGTGACACTTCAAGAAACTGCGTTACGCTCCGCTCACGTTATGTGCTCACAATGAGAGCGAGTGAGAGGCACGCGTCCCTTCCACTCGGGTATGGTTAGCCCGCCTAAGAGCGAGAGAGACAGACATAAAAAGTGAAAGGCACGCGTCATTTTACCACTCAAAGTCGTTGTCACGTAAAATTTTCGCCCGTGTACCGACTTTACAGGCAACCAATTTTTTAATCTTAAAAGTCAACAACGCACTTGTTGCTCCTTTCGTGTTGTGGGTAATTATCGGTGGCACTGATTGCTTACTAATGACCTGTTTGCTGTGTCCCCCTTCCCATCCCAAAAAAGGGGTATTTGAGGGGCAAAAATCATCCAATCTCCCGCCCGGGTGAGGCGAGAGGGAATGTCAGACTCTTACTGACTAAAAACCACCCCGTTCCTCCTCCTGCAATTCGAGCCGGAGCTCCGGTAACCCGTTAAGTCCCCGGCTCCGATCTCAGCTCCCCATGCTTGACAATAATGGGAGATCGAGGTCACAGCTAACAAACGTATGTAGATGTTTAGACAATTTTGAGACAGTTTAAGGCGTTTTTTTTTAATTTGAACTTTAAGCAATTACATTTAAGGTTAAGTTTAATTACCTGGCAACATCGACGTCTTCCTTGTAACTCTCAGGTCTGGGTCCTTGTGATTGGTCGTAGTATCTTGCTAGTGTGTATCTGAAATATATAGATTTATTTATTTTGTTTGTATGAATATATGTGACACATAACATAACATAGTATCACGCCTTTTATCCTCTAAGAGGTGCACAATACGGCACTTAATGCCACTGTACAATGTAACACTCACTTTTCACTATTTATGTTATGGGCCATATGTAATAGGGAGTGAGACTATTGCCATATACCGGACAATTACAGACTCCGTGCTACCTACTACTGAGATTTTTTTTCTTAAAAACCTAGTAATACTTTGCCTGACCTGGGAATCGAACCCGAGACCGCTTGCCCGGCAGACGCATTTGCGACCACTCGACCAAGGAGGCAGTCACTCGATATACAATATAAAGCAATTAATAAAATACTACTTTTCTCACCTATGCCCATTATGATTGACTTCAATGGTGTGGTTGGTCATCCAGTAATCATACTCCCTGTCCAAGGTATGGATGTGTTGTCTGAGGAACTCAATGTCATCCATGTCATCCAGGATTAGTTTAACCATGGGAATTAGTAGGGGAGGCTGTGATCTGGAAAGAAAAAAGTTTGTATTTGTATCTAAATATTTTTTAATGTTAAGTCATATTTTAGCCTTTAATTCCTAAAGGGGTAGGTAGGGTAAAATTCTAAAAATGAAACAAGATTTTGTCCGACTGGGAATCGAACCCGAGATCCTTTGATTGTTAAATTTGCCAGCACGTGACAAACTTTTCTTACTTCTTTTTTTTTTAAAAAACGTTGCCCCACATTAGGATTTTCTACTGTATCGTAGGTGCGTTCACAAACATACAAGTTCACATATACAATGACACCGAAACAATAATTTGTGGATCACACAAAGTGTTGTTCCGTGTGAGAATCAAACCCGCAACACGTTGCACGGCAGCCGGTTGCACAGCCACCTCACCAACCGTGCAGTCAAACAAATCGGTCCATCAAATATAAAAAAGTTATCTTAATATATAAAGGTTTATTTTAGGGCACAAAATACGTTTTGTGCCCTAAAATAAAGTTTGGCGTACCAAACAACACATTTTAGGGCACACAATGTATTAAGCATACATTTTAAACCACAAAACGTATTAAACAATAAATATTGGATATTTATATGGTGCAGCACTAAAACCATACCTCATAGCGTAATATATCCTGCCTCCATTAGGTATGAAGCCGATCCTTTCGACAATATCCATGAAGTTAGAGACCATACCCTTGGCAGTGGACCTCATCTCAGACAGCAGGAGACCCTTGATGATCCAGTACGAGTCCCAGTAGTAGAACTCACGGAAACGACCACCTGAAACATGGAATTATCTAAAGTTAATTTCTTTTTGTGGGATAAGCCGGTAAACGAGTAGACGGATCACCTGATGGTAAGCAATCGGCGTCGCCCATATACACCTGGAACACCAGAGGGGTTACAAGTGCGTTATCGGACTTTTGAGGATTAGAGATTTGAGGATTGTTGGGGCTTCAGGGACTGGGGAGTAGGGGAGGATAATTGGACCTCAACCTCAGTCACACGACAAAACAAGCGTTGTATATTTTGACTTTGTAAACAGAGTATAAATACTCAGGTATGATCTTAACAGAGAAGGAAATAAAAGGAAATTGGCCGCGGAGAACCTAACGGGTTACCGGGGCTCCGGCTCGAAGTGCAGGAGTAGGAACGGGGTGGTTTTTCAGGTCAGTAAGAGTCTGACACTCCCTCCCGCCTCACCCAGGTAGGAGATTCGATGATTTTGCCCCTTAAAAAAAGAAACCCTCCTTCCACTCCTCTCTATATAAAGCCTTTTGCGGGCAATCCTTGTCATAGATGCCCAGTCCATATTGTGGGCATATTCATTAAGGTTTGTAATTTCTTCAAACAAATCTCGGCTTTCAATACACCAGACAGGCACTTACCAGGCACAATAACAGGGTTATCTACGTATATGATGGAGTACAGATCCTGGTTGGCCTTAACATCAGGCTTCATCTTCCTGCCCAACTGCAGCCACAAGCGGTTCAGGTCGGCAGCCCATTCGTGCAGCAGTGGATCCTTGATGTTTTGGAGGAACGCTGTAAATGTTTTGAAAGTAGTTAAGTAAGTAGTTAGGTAAGTAATTAAAACATTTAAGTAGTTTTAGATTGCTTTTAATTATTATTGTTATTTTATTTTTGTTTGCTTTGATTTTTTTTTGTCTTTATTAATATAATTGTACATGGAATTTATGATCCCGTGATTGTTGTGTACATCTGTCACTGGTATGCATATCAGAATTTTTAATTTTGTATTCAACTGTTTTATGGCTAGTGTATAATATGTATTCTGTTGATGTGCCTTTAATAAATAAATAAATAAAGTGTATATTAATCGGTACTTGTGTTAAAATAATTATTGAATTAATGTTTTAAGGGCCGTACAATGACAGTGATTATTGTAGGTTTTTTTTGTTGTTAGCTAGGTACGGGATCAAAACTCTACGTTCGCGAGACTGACTCATAAGTGTGAGATTTTTACAAATAGTGTTGCTGTGGTCTACCACCAGTTCATCCAAGTATTGTTAAGACTTTTATAATTAAGTTAAAATCTAAATTAATTATTAAGTTTTCGGCTTACTCACGTAATAATTTGACGAGGAACTCGACTAGTTTCAAGCCATGCTAGAGGCACGCGCCGCCGTCGCCGACCACGAATGAAAGAAAGTGCGCGTGAATCACGGCAGAGGGCGCGCTGGGCCCGGAGACTCGATTAGCCAGTAGCAGCGCGACAGTCGCCACGTCGCGGGTCGCGAAATGCTACTCATGAATATGAGCCTCTAGCATGGCTTGAAACTAGTCGAGTTCCTCGTCAAATAATTACGTGAGTAAGCCGAAAACATAATAATGTATTTAGTATGTCTCACGAAAGTTACAATACAAATATAAGTTAAAATCTTTTCAGCAGTCACCCAATACTTTTTCCAGGAACTTATAAGTCATATTGGCGCAACTGTCATACAAATATCAGTAACCAAGGACTAAAGAAAAAACATCACTGACTTTACAACAATGTTCAGAATACAACTGTACAAATAATACGCAGAATATGCGGACAGACAAGACAAACACATTAAGCGATTATACATATAACAAATACCATATTTAATTTGATGTATTTGCTATGCAATTTATTATAACTAGCTACTTCCGCACGGTTTCACACGCTCTGCTCAGCTCCTATTGGTCGTAGCGTGATGTTTTATAGCCTATAGCCATCCTCGATAAATGCGCTATCCAACACAAAAAGAATTATTAAAATCAGACTTGTAGTTACGGAGATTAGCGCGTTCAAACATACAAAAAACAAACTCTTCCGCTTTATATAATAGTAAAAGATAAAAATATATTGTAATGTAATTCGTTATAGAACATGTTTTTATGGACTTATTTACGGTGGAGATAATTTTAATTTATTTACGACACCAGTTCTGTAAGACGTGTGACAGCATAGCCATAAATCAACTGCCTATAAGTGCCCACTGCTGAGGAAAGCCTCTTCTCACAAGGAGTAGGTTTGACCATTAACTACGCTTGCTCATTGCGGGTTGGCGATTTCAAAACTTATAATTAGAAATTATAATTCCCGGTTTCCTCATGACGTTTCTTTCACCAATTGTCAGTAAAGTTTAAAAAATCTTAGTAAGTACATATAACTCGGAAAATGTCACATTGGTACTTGCCGTTGTCAGGTTTAGAACCCGCACCATCACTCATGAGAAGCGGCAGTCTTAACATCTGGGCCACCACGATATAAGACAGAGCCTTAATATGTTAAAAACAAAACATCACGCCTTTTTTTCCTTATCAGGATAAAAGATAGGTGGACAATGTAAAAGTAGCACCCAGATCTCTTTAAAAAGTCTTATGAATGAGCTTACCAGGGTTATCCTTCCAGTCAGTAGGTCTCCAGTCCTCGAACTCAGATCCTTCGGGGTCAAAGTTCTGGTTGACGAACTCCTGAATGTCAGCTTTGGTCGGATGTGAACCTGTCCTGAAGGAATATTCCGATTATACTCTATGCACAAAAATACGTACAAAAAACTACAGGTTTCAGAACCGAAAATTATGAACTTAAGATTTCAGCATGTCTTTGCTTTTTCCAGTTGGCCTGGCAGTGCAAGGATAAGGCACAATATTTTTGATTAAGTTCTCAAACAAATAAAACAAAGTCATTATCCGCCGTCTGTCTGTCCCTATGTATGCTTAGATCTTTAAAAATACGCAGCGGATTTTGATGCGGTTTTTTTTTAATAGATAGAGTGATTCTTAAAGAAGGTTTATATGTATAACACATGCATTTTGCACTCGTGCGAAGCCGGGGCGGGTCGCTAGTATCTAAAATATAGTAAGCTGTACTTTATGCCATCCTGGGGAACGAACCCGATGCCTCCTCTTCGATCCCATTTTTTTATGGGTTGGCTGACAAACGTATGAATAGATGTCCCTTATAGCATGGTTTTTCAACCTAAAGGTCGCGACTCCCGGGAGGGTATTCATACTAAAAGGGCCGTGGTACGAATAACGTTAAAAAGTCTGCCTTATAATAAGCTATTAGTACAGCTCATGGCCAGAAACATATCTACAATGCATATAGTGAGTATTTTTTTAAGGGGGGAAAATCATCGAATGACTGCTCCCGCCTGAGCGAGGCGGGAGGGAGTGTCAGACTCTTACTGACTAAAAACCACCCCGTTCCTTCTCTTGCACGTCGAGCCGGAGCCCCGGTTACCCGTTAGGTTCTCCGCGACATATATAAGTGTAAGCAAGTTTATACCTGGCCATCATTTCGTGGAAGTGGTCCATGGTGATGTCGGCAGACAGCTTCAGCTTCATGTCAACGAAGGTTTTGGAGTCATTGTACAGCCCTGCCATCTGCACCGTGTCCAGCAGCGGGCCATGACAGTAGATATTGCTGGAAATATAGAGATCAAGCGTTAGGGGCATTTTAAATCATAAATGCGAGGTCCTTTAACCCGTGGTATGCCGGAACGTATCTAAGCGAGACACAATGTGTTTTCTATTGTGTCTTATATACCAGCAGTTAAGAGGTTAAGAGTCTTGCTTTTTCTTTTCTAGGAACTTCTTATTTTAAAATAAGGGCGAATAATATGTAAGGCTAGCAACTCTCGCAAAGTTTTCATCCGCTGCTCGGCTCCTATTGGTCATAGCGTAATGTTCTATAGCCTATAGCCTTCTTCGATAAATGCACTACGCAATACAAAAAGAATTATTCAAATCGGACCAGTACTTCCAGAGATTAGCGCATTCAAACAAACAAACAAACAAACAAACGACCAAACTCAGAAACATGTACCAGTTCTTATTAATATTGCCACCTAATTAAATAATAATTAGACCGTATGTTGTTAGCAATAAGAATCATCATCAGTGCTACAATCCAATGCCATCCACTGCTCGATATCGAGTTCTAGTTTGTATCGAGGTTTTTTATAAGAATAACTATTTAAGTGGGAGAGCTTGCTTGCCATGCTTCGGCACGAATGGGCCGGCTCGACCGGAGTGATACCACGGCCTCACAGAAAACCGACGTGAAGCAACGCTTGCGTTGTGTTTCGTCGTGTGAGTGAGGTTACCGGAGGCCTAATTACTTTCCCCTTCCTCAATCTCCGCAATTCCTGAATCCCCAACGATCCTCAAACTCCTAATCCCCAAAAGGCCGGTAGCGCACTTGTAACGCCTATGGTGTTCTAGGTGTCCATGGGCGATGGCATTTGAATTTATAAAACTCTTTTACATCCAACACACGTGCAAAAGAAAGATACGATCCTATTATAAGGTCAACGTCCTAACATTTTTTACTATGGGACCACGACTACAAAGCGCAAAAAACTGCTTCTCATGCGCAATAGTTAGGCCACATATTTCGGACCCAACTTCACGTATATGGAATCCAAGTAAGCGTGAATTGTTTAATATCCAGATTTATTTAATGATCTTCAATTTACTTCAATATATTGTAATTTTTTTTTTAATCTAAATATCCCGTAATCCCTAAAACCCTCATTATTTAATTAGGTACATAACTTTTACTAAAAATATATCTAAGCTATTTTGTGATTTCTTGATGGGATTTAGGGATTAGGAATTTGATGATTCTTGGAGATAGAATTGTGAAAATTGGGTAAGGGGGTAATTAGACAGATTTCTAAAGATAGTAGTCAGAGTCACAAAAACAAAGAGAGTATAAAATGTGACGTATATTCAAAAGTGGTTTAAAGGCTCAAAAATCGTTATTTGAACCAGATTAGGAAACATGTGTGCAGTTAAATTGCTAAATATAACAGTCATGTGATTATTTGCCATATAACAATACAATAAAAGGATAAACTCAATCTAGCATAGAAAGTACAGGATATTTTATTCTTTATGACACTATTGTAAGGACCAGAATACTTGAGCCAATTTATCTGTCACGAAAAATGTAATGTTAACAACCTGCTATATAAATAAAATGTAATTTTTATCTTCACTATGAGTAGGTACTGTATATTATGCTAAAGTTGTCATTTACAATTTGTTTGATGACTACAGATATACTTTATTTTTTTAGTTACTAGCTTCTGCCCGCGACTTCGTACGCGCAATCTCGTTTTCTCCCGTTCCCGTAAGATTTTCAGGACTTTTTTCTGTCATAAGAACCTTCTCCTGACAATAATAAATGCAACAAAAAAAATCAGCCAAATCGGTCTAGTCGTTCTCAAGTTATGGCGTGACAACGGGAAACGGGTTTAATTTTTATATATATAGACTAGCGGACCCGACAGACGTTGTCCTGCATACTATGATATTTCAAGCGATAAGGGTATTAAAAAAGGTATGAAAGGAAAGACCAATAGCGCCATGACAAAGACTAGCGGACCCAACAGACGTTTTCCTGCATAACCACTTGAATGTATAAACAAAAATTCATTCAAATTAGTTCAGCTGTTTAGGATAAATAACCTAAACATCGACTGCAGCGCCATCTGCCGAGCTGATTTGTGAATCTAAACCATTCCCAGATCCCCTTGAACACACACAAAAAAATTCTTTAAAATCGGTCATGTCGTTTGATAGAAGTTCAGTGACATACACACTCACAGAAGAATTATATACCTCTATATAAAGATTTTCTTTAATTATAGATAAAAATGCTTTGACAAACTACCTAACTATGTATAATGGGTTGTAAAGCGACATTTTTTCAAAGAAGAGATGCAGATCGTATAGGAAAATACACCTTAACTCGTCGAGTACCGGTTTTATAGACACAATTAAAGAACAATAGGTCGTGGTCACCGGTGACCGCTTGGTATTTGACAGTTTAAAACCTGAGCAACAACGCTTAGCGACATTATATCGTCAGTCCACGTGTTTACAGAGCATAGTATATACCATATGCATATATATCATGTAGCCACTTGATACCATCGTGTTCTTTTACAATAAATGGATTGACAATCAGCTGACACTGTGTCAGTTTGTTCTATTCTTAGAATAGCTTGGAGAATGAAGACTGACATCAACGTCTAGCTTGATGATTTTGTTCTAGAATGTAACTAATAACATTTAAGGGCTGGTTACTACCTTGGGCAAAGGTTAAGCATTGCCATTCAACGTGGCAATGCTGCCAGTCTTTTGGACACCCTAACTCACGATAGCTGCCTACCCTGCCTGCCAAGCATAATCTGCAAGATTATCCCCTCTTTTGATGGTCCATGGTCCATAGACCGGTCCATAGACCGGTAGTCCAGTAGTGAACTGCTGATTTGATGTGAAATAACTATGTGGATTGATTCGGGACTGCCTCGTTGGCCGAGTGGTCGCAAGTGCGACTCCTGGGTAAGGGGTCTCGGGTTCGATTCCCGAGTCCGGCAAAGTATTACTGGGTTGTTTAAAAATTCTCAGCAGCAGCACGGATTCTGGAATACTGTGCCCGATATATGGCAATAGGCTCACCCCCTATTACATGGGACTCATAACATAAATAGTGAAAAGTGGGTATCATATTGTACAGTGGCTGTCCTGTAAGCCAGGATCTACAGTAGATACAACCATGATAACACCGGAATACTGCAGTCCAGCGCGTCCCAGGGACATGAATAACTGTTTTGGTTCCCGCAACGAAGTGAATCAATAAGAGGAGAAGAAAAAACGATATATCTAATTATGTAGTGTTGTTATGTTTAAATTCGGGACAGAATATCAAGTTCACAAGCGTTTGTTTACGTTCATTTATTTATCTATACCTACAATGATTTGCATTTCACGTGAGAAGTCAACGAATTGTAAATAAACAAGAACTCAACTGGTTGAACGAGATACCTACATACATAGTTACGACTATTAGATAGTTGAGAAAACATAATAATAATGCAAGTATAATTTGAATAACAATTACGTCATGAGCTAAACAAAAACAACAACAAAATAACTTGATTTACATAATTGTGTTTAAGTAGTTTCAAGTGTAAGAAGTAAAGAGGACTTAAGACTGTCTTGACTGACTCCTGACTTGACTTGAGATAGAGAGTAACAAATGGAGTTACTTACTCGTTCTTCTCCACTCCTATCTACTTTTTTGGAATGAGCACCTAGCTTCACTGACGGACAGACTGACCGACTATTATTTATTTTATATTTGTTGCCGTTTCAAAAGTACCAAATAAATGCTTTTGAGTTTGAGTTTGACTCGTTTTCGCTTGCATTTTCAGTGTTCTTAGTTATATTTTGTAACATATAATAGGGTAGACGACTAATTTTTATTTTAATGTCCGTCTGGTAGATTATTTAAAAACATTAGACACGTATTTTTTATTTTCTCACAGAAACGAATAGTTTCGAAGATATATTGATTTGAAATGTCGCGTGACGTCACTTCTCAGTACATTTTATACTAAGAAATGACGTTTTAGCCCCCACTCCTAAACTTTGATTCGTTTTATCTAAGTATTGTTTTATTATACGACAAATAAAAAAAATACGTGTCTAATATTTTTTCATTACCTAACTTACGGACTAATTATATTTTTAATTTTCATACCCTGTCATCATCCCCATTGGAGATTAATCGATTATATTGGGTGTGATTACTGTTAAGGTTGGAGCATTAATCATCACAGTTGCTAAATGCGGGTTGGCGATTACAAACTTATAAATAGAAATCATAAGTCCAAGTTTCGATGTTTTCCTTCACCGTATTGAGATACGGTGTCTAAATAATCCTAGAAAATACATACTATACTAACTCGGAAGAAGTCACATTGGTACTGGCCATTGGTAGGTTTGGAACCCTCACCCTGACCGTCTTATCCTCCGATCGAGCACCTAGACTCCTATTACATATACCTAAAGAGCGATATAGCCGTAAAGGACACTTTTTTAATAGACCAATAGATTTTATTCTTACATTTATTAAAAATAGTAGTGCTTAACTAACTAGAACAAGATTCACAGTCACGACAAGGCTAGGTACATACATACTTCCGACAAGCATCCCGCACGCGTCTCCTTGATCTATGGCCAATAACATCATAAATCTAGAGTACCTGATGACGTTTTTTTAATCTAGTTAGTAGTTACCTACTACTTCTCAGACAGGGACGTCCAAAGACCCGATGGAAAGATGACATCTGTCTGACTTTGGGGCCATACTGGAGTAGAGTTCCGTAAGACAGGGTACAATGGAAGCAGTTGGAGGAGGCCTATGCCAAGAGGCACACCGAGCTTAGGGATATCATTTAATAAAGCAAAAATCAAATATGTAAGACTGTCTAATGATATTCGTAATTGCAATAACTGTAATATCGGAAATAAAGGCTATTATTATTACTACTTTATGTAACACCCACTTTTCACTATTTATGTCATGAGTCCCATGTAATAGGGGGTGAGCCTATAGCCATATACCGGGCACAACTACATTGTACAGTACACATACATTGTACAGTGGCATAAAGTGCCATAAAGTACACCTCTGCCTACCCCTTCGGGGATAAAAGGCGTAAAGTTATGAGAGAATTATTATTACTACTTCTTAAATAATATCCTACGCTTCTATAAGATTAGAAGCGTAGGATATTATTCTATAAGATTAGAAGCGTAGGATTTATTTCCCAAAACATAAACGCTTTTTGAAAATTCCTCCCGTCAAAATATAGGAGGGCTCTCTAAGCGTATGTGACCCCAAAGTATAATACCGAACTTCTATACAGATAAATAAAATTGAAGTGTCTGTTTGTAATATTAAAAAAACAACCGTTTTTTACTATATGACTATACTAATGATACGCCATAACATAACATAACATCATGCCTTTTATTCCCGAAGGGGCAGGCAGAGCTGCACAATATGGCACTGTACAATGTAATCAAGTATTTCAAGTAATCAAGTAATCACACTTTTCACTATTTATGTTATCAGTCCCATGTATTAGGTGCCTACTGCCATATTGCGCACAATTTCAGACTACGTGCTTCTATTGAATGTTTTTTAAAAAACCCAGTAGTACTTTGCCCGACCCGGGAATCGAACCCGAGACCCCTTGCCAACGAGACAGTATAATTATATTAGCTCCTAATTATCCTTAAAATAATCGTGTTTTAAACTGTCAAACACCGCGAGGACACCGGTGACCGCAACCTATTGTTCTTTAACCATTTGAGTACCGTCATTATAGACACAATTAAAGAACAATAGGTTGCGGTCACCGGTGTCCTCGCGGTGTTTGACAGTTTAATTGTATCTATAATGACGGATGACGGTACTCAAAGGATGAATGATGATTAATTTTACCTATAAAACATTTTGTGCTGTTCACTATACAGTAGAATATTAACATGCTTCCGGCAACGTGTCTGTGTGTCTAACCCTGATCTACTTGATATGCATTCAAGATATTCAATTGTTGATACGTAGATAAGACCTAACTACTGTCACTATCTTTTAAACCGACTAGACTTAGTTATAGAAATATACCTACACTTTAAAATAGGACCCATTAGGTTATATCTAAATAAAGACAATTTAAGCTGTGGATCAAATTGGGCTGACGCTAATGATGTTACTGTATGTACTACAATTGAGGCATTCATCAATATCAATTATTATTAACATATATTTATTTAAAATTCTCTACAAATTATATTTTTAAATACTACTTACAAAATGAAAAATAATATTTAAAAATATAAAAAATAGGAGCCGACCAGTAGCGGGAGCATAGTCCAAGCTACCGGTGGTTAGGGCTCCAGAGACAGAAACCTCCTCACGATACGTGCCGTTTCTAGGAGAACTGCCTTCTGTATCAGGCCCTTGATCCATCCACCTAACGCCAGCCTCCTGAGATGGATGTCGAGGCTTTTAAGGATAACCGGATAAACCCATTGGCCGACACGACTATCGGCTCAATGATAGCCGAATCCACATTCCACATGTCGACAACCTCGTGAGCTAAGTCTAGATATTTTATTTGTTTATCTTTCTCAGCTTTCACGAGGTTCTCGTCATGGGGATTATTACTATGTCCTTTATTTATTTATATACTTGACTTATACATTTTTAAATATTTGATTATAAAAAAAACATTTAAAAATATAAAAAACAGTAGCCCACCAGTAACGGGAGAAATCCAAGCTACCGGTGGTCAGGGCTCCAGAGAAAGGAATTTCCGGACAATACGCGCCGTGTGCAGAAGTACTGCTTTCTGCATCAGGCCCTTATGGGGATTATTATTATTATAGAGATGGGTAAAACAAATAAATGCTTACCTAGAGCAGGTTGGCGGCAAATGGCTCCTGTCCATCCCCGCAGCCACTCCAATAATAGCAACAAAAACACACCACATTTTCTTATACATCTTCACTTATCGATAAATAAACTATCGACAATGGCACAACACTACACTATTAAAACTAATATCACTCGGTAAATAAAATAACAGGAACAAAATTGCACTACTTAAAAATTAAATAAATTGTTTTTTAGTCTGTGGTCCTTTTAAAACCTTTTTACGTGTTAAGGTACGTGCTTAGAATTTTATACGACTTCCTTCTAAAAGGTTGGATGGTCATTTTGGTCGGTATGCTGACGAAGTAACTTCAACAATTGGAAGTCGACATGGCAAACCTGAAACAAAAAGAAAAACAACATTAGAATATGTAACTTATCTTTGAAAAAAAATTTTAAAAAATCGTAAAGATCTCAACTCGATATTTTATTCAATATTCAATAAATATTCAAATAAGTGTGTGTGTGCGACACATGTCAAATGACAGTTCACGCACATAGACTATCAATGAAAACAAATCAACGGGTGACGTCACAAAAATCCTACATCGCACAATAATAATGTAAAGTTTACATGCCAATTAACATGGATAGAAAATCCCAACAAACAACAGTTGGGCAGAAAGCCCGCTAGCCACGAAAACCTCACTTGGTCAGAGAATCATGATAAAATGAAATATTATCGTCAAAACATACCCTAAAAACAACCGAATCTTCCGAAAGTAGACCACAAATACTAGCCATTAATTTAAAAACAATAAAAAAATGAGACAGTACCTACAAATTCCAAATTTAAAAATCAACGATCAACAAGACCGTTTCGACCGGCGGATGCAGATTGTCTGACACAATTGTGCTTTATATTCCTACTGTCACAATGTATGACGTAGTCAAGCGTGAGTAGTGGCCTGAAGGACCAAACACGTGAGAGCTGACTTTAGGACCACGATTGGGACCTGAATACTGTTTGTATGAACACGTGTGATGCAAAGCAAAATACACGAGGTCGATCATGTGCAATGTGCATCCTCCATGAAAAACTACTATATATGTAGAAGTATTAGTTTCTGTCAGGCGGGTTGGTTTTTTTATGGGATATAGAAGATAAATGAGCAGACGGATCGCCTAAAGGTAAGCAATCGGCGTGGCTACCTGGAACACCAGAAGCGTTACAAGTGCGTTGCGGATTGAGAATTTGAGGATTATTGAGGATTTAGGGATTGGGGAGATTGAGAGGGAAGGGAGGGGGGGAAGGGCCTTCGGTACCCTCACTCACAAGACGAAACACAACGGTAGCGTTGGTTCACATCGGTTTTCTGTGAGGCCGTGGTAAATGTGCGGTCGAGCCGGCCCATTCATGCTGAAGCATGGCTCTACTACACTTAGAATGAAGCAGAAGGAAAAACGAACAATAAAATAAAATAAAGTTAGAATAGAAGTTATTAATCCAGGTGAATATAGCTAAACAACGTAACACATTGAAATGAAAACGACATAAATTCGCCTAGTTTCTAAAACAACAATAGTATTTCTGTCCTCATTGTGTAAATAGACGCTGTATCAGCGTTATAAAATGACCTTTGATCAGCCTCGTGGTCTAATCGTTATTTTAGCATCCAGTGCAAACAGTATGCCTTCTACAATAGGCTACATTTGCAAAACAATGGCTACGGCTAGTATAGCCACTGTGTCATGTTCAACAGTCTATAAATATATTCTGCTGAGCTTTTCATTAATATGACATCAGTGTCTATTAAGCATATACATGTTTTGATGAAATTTGAATTCTAAGTAAATGAAAATTTGTTAATTATTAGTTGATCAACTTTCATCATTATTTTCAGTGGATCACAAAAGCCTGATGAGTGCTTAGACACTGGACTTTCAAATAACCAAGAACGAGAGGAATCAGAAGATTGTATTAAACATGCTGGCTACTGTGATGTCGTTGGTTTATTTCCAATTTAGTAACATGGATTCTGGTATAAAGAATGGAGACTTTCTCTTTTTGCAAAACGATTGATTCTATAACGAACTAGTGCTTGCACGGTTGGTGTAGTCGCTGGACAATTGGCTGACGTGCAATGTGTAACGGGTTTGATTCCCGCACGGAATAACTCTTTGTTTGATCCACTTATTGTTGTTTCGAGTCTGGGTGGTATTTGTATGTGAACTTGTATGTTTGTAATGTAAACGCACCCACGACATAGGAGAAAATCCTAGTATGGGGTAAGGTTTTAAATAAATCAAAGTGATTACGTAAACAAGCACTAACTACTCCAATACTATTCATATCATAACATTGAAATCTATCAGAAGACCTTAACACATTAACAGAGGTCACATACTTCAACGGAACACCTGTCAAGGTCACTACCTGACCCCAAGAAGGGTCCTATGGTTCCACAACACCCGTCAACAATTGTCCAATAAAATAAATTACAGCTGACGTCACCAGGCGTCGGATGCAGGAGAAAAGGTAGGATGCAAATAACATCCTGCAACTATGATACGCAATTTGATTCGCTAGATTGATGAGGTCTCGTCTGAGTCCCGTGGGACCGAATTGGGTAGAAGTAGACACTAGAAGTATTGCGAATTGCTTCTTTATTGAGACTGGGAAGTATTTTGGAAATGGTATTGGAAAATAGAAAGATGAAGAGGTCTTACACTGAGTCTAATCTTCAATAACTTATTCTTTTCTTTTCTATTCTGATTAAAATTGCCTTATCAGACTCCCAGTTCTGTGTAAATATAGCATCTGACTTATGTCGCGGAGAACCTAACGGGTAACCAGGGCTCCGGCTCGACGTGCAGGAGAAGGAACGGGATGGTTTTTAGCCAGTAAGAGTCTGACACTCCCTTCCGCCTCACCCAGGCGGGAGAAGGCATTCGATGATTTTCCCCCCTTAAAAAAAAAAGCATCTGACTTATACATTTTGTTATAATGCGAATAACAACTTACATAATTTCTTTATACCATTGTATTCTAGTGTAAGTCAGGGTCGCATTGACCACAAACAGGTCGCATTTCAATAAATCATCCAAGATGCCTATTTATTTACACTTCCTGATTCGCCATTACTTGTTATTGCTTGATTTTTTCATACATAGGCTACCCTAAAAATAGTATTGAAAAACAACTGGCCAAATCTTATATAAGTTTAATTTGAAAATATAATTATGTAATAGTATGTCAAATTTCATCTGAGCGTAAATAATGAGTTTTCTCGATAATTTTAATCAATTTTTTGGTACATTTGTAACACCAGTTTATATTTATTTTATACGGATTCTTGTACATAGCTCATTACTGTCCAATCAAAACTATAATCATGCAGATTAATGGGGATGATGACAGGGTATGAAAATTAAAAATATAATTAGTCCGTAAGTTAGGTAATGAAAAAATATTAGACACGTATTTTTTTATTTTGTCGTATAATAAAACAATACTTAGATAAACCGAATCAAAGTTTAGGAGTGGGGGTTAAAACGTCATTCCTTAGTATAAAATGTACTGAGAAGTGACGTCACGCGACATTTCAAATCAATATATCTTCGAAACTATTCGTTTCTGTGAGAAAATAAAAAATACGTGTATAATGTTTTTAAATAATCTATCAGACGGACATTAAAATAAAAATTAGTCGTCTACCCTATTGGTCAACCATAATAAATACACATAAATATTACAATTATAACACGTGTTATCCAATTGGCCAGACATAGAACATAAATAAATAATTCAATAAATTCGATTTTCCTTCCTGTTTCACTGTAGCAAATGGAGGCAAATCCTCTTCTGAAGAGGAAACCCTTAGTCCAAAACCAGTCTGTAACGCAGGCTCATGATGTTGTTGTGCAAAATAAAACTAAAATCTTCCAATGTATACGGAACAGAAGAAAGGAAACCGCCATACGTTTATGACCAAATTACCTCTTGTCATAGCAATTGGAAAATTGGCCCACCTTAGGCCAATCCTGGTCAAGTGAACAACATGGAATATTCTCGTCCCTTTGGTAAACGGAGACAATTTTTGGAGGAACAATTTACTGGAGTGGGTAACAAACAGATACAGAAGGATAGAAAATGAGTCTATTTTAACCCTTTGAGTACCGTAATTATAGACACAATTAAAGAACAATAGGTTGCGGTTACCGGTGTCCTCGCGGTGTTTGAAAGTTTAAATAGAACTTCGCTGATGCACAAAATCTATACTCGAAGAGCGCTTCGTGATTTGGAGATCGCAGATTGAAAGGTGCAGATTTGCTTGAGAATACTGCGCGGTACTCAATTGACATAAGTGGCGAAAAATTGATTTCTATTAGCTTCTTAAAGAAAAACAAATTGTTTTATAGTCTGTTATGTATTAATAAATGGTACTTGATCATTTCAATACTTCCTAGGCCCACTTGGTCAAGAGGTTCAATGGAGTTTAAATATAAAATTGATCCTCTTGAACTACACAATCATTATTCATCATTACACTGCCGTCACGCATTGAAATCACTTGACGATATAAATTGTAGAAATGGTAATCAATACTAAAATAAGAAGGAATTATTTTTTATTGAATGCTGATGAATATTGACAGCTCAATCTAGAAAGATTTTGCGTTGTTCAAATGGTAGGTAGCACGATTGCCGAGAGGAATTCTTTTGGTTTCTCAGATTTTAAGAAACAGAGAGTAAAGTTCCATAAGATCGGAAAAGGAGGATCCTTTGTCCAGGCGAGGTGATCGTACCTGGCGAGTTACTGCCTAATTGGAATACGTTGGAATTTTCTATGCATGTTTGTATACGTATAATCTTTATTGGTGCGATGTAGGATTTGTGTGACAGATTCAACTACATATCCACAGATGACCTGCTGACATGTCTTTACATCTTCAATATGCGTCGCCACAATATAAGCATGGACGTGGTAAGGTATTACCCGAGAAGTCACACCTGCCATTACTATACCATACCATAAATTAAAACATCACCTATCTGAAACAATTACAGCTAACAGACGAAGCTTGTTTACAAGTATCATTTACTACCTCACTCATAATTATTCAGGTA